GAGGAGGAGGAGGAGGAGGAGGAGGAGGAGGAGGAAGAGGACAAGGCTGATAATAAGGACGATGAATAGTTAAGCGTTCAAAAGTCAGACTTACCTTTGAATGAGTCTTGAAGAATCGTAAAGCAGAATGCAGTTGTGACTTGTGAGGACATCGGGCCATATTTATACACACTCAAATTAATAATATTCTACGTCAGAAACACGTAGGCCTCCTCATAAAATTGGCTATTTGGAAAAGATGTTTTTCACAAAGAGTCGTCGTGGGTAGAGGAGAGCAGAATATCTCGACATGAAACAAGGAAATCAAAAGCTCACACGCTGCGAGTGTAAAAAGGTTGACAACTTTCGTGTGAAACCAATAACTGGCGGTGCTTTTTTGAAGTCGGTGATTGTTCTGTTTTCAATAACAAAGTTAATTAATTGTGGCATTGCATTTTTGTACTCAATTTGTGGTAAATTAATTGCTCAGCTGCATATATTGGTTTTGGGGGTTTGTTTCGTATGTTGTTTGTGTGTGTGTGGGGGGGGGGGGATGGTTTACAGGACGACCGACGTTTGTGGGCGGCAGTGTAGCATACAGAAATCATTTGGAATCCTGTGCGCCAAGAATTAATGGTTTCACATATCTCCGTCTGCCTGCTTTGGGGGGGGGGGGGTGTATCTCTCTTAACTAGGGTTGGCTAATTCGTGCAGGGGCGAAGCTGCCCGCCTCCAAAACGATCTTCCTTGTCGATGGGTATGTAAGAATCTAAAAATCAATCAGACGTTCATCAAAATAATGAATTCAAAGAAACTGAAAATCTCCTGCCATAGTTACATTTTTATCTAATAATATATTTTTTTTCTTTCCATAGCATCCTTTAAAATACATGAAAATTTGGCTTAAAAACAATGACGAAAAACACCTCACAACAAAAAGGAAAATTTGCTGTTTCTAAAGACACTCAAGCTTTGGAAGTCACCAACCTGTGACGGCTATTTTCTCGCTAATTTGAGTTCTAACGTCAGGCGCCCCGCCACCTCCTTCAAGGGCAAATTGTATCTCGACTTCTATTCAAAATACATGTAGATGGATAACGTTGTAACAAAAGCAAGATAAATAAACATGTTTTAAGGCGATACTAATAACTCCATACGCCCAAACTGACGAGTGCCTGATACTTTTTGTTTAGTCTTTACTGTTTTGCCTTTGTGTAGGTGCAAGTGATCTGTCAGTTATTCATATAACGTCGAAGGAAATAAATCAATGACTTCGCTTTGAGCTTTATTAATTTTGACAATTGTGATCATATATGGTACACAAAAACAGAGACAGAGACAGAGCATGTGTGTATGCTCATCCATGTAGGTTTATCATCGTCTCATTTTGCTTATCTCTATCTTTCTCTCCATATGTCTCTTTTCCATGCACAAACACATACGAACACACGAACACACACACACACACACACACACACACACACACACACACACACACACACACACACAACACACACAGAAAGTGGAGACTAAAGCAGACGACAGAACATTGTTAGAGTGCAGGGAACGATGTGAAAGGAGAACATTTTAGAGAAGAATATGTTCCGTCCGTATCCAGGTTCGAACTTGGACATCTTGAATGATAGGCGAACATCTTAACCTTTAGGCCACGAGAGCCCCCGGTGTCATGTCTGCTGCAGACATTGACACCATTCCTTCCTGTTGCCAGTTCTCCTGAGCAGCCCATTCTTTTTATTATGTAGTAATATTTTTTATTGTGTATTTTGTTGTAGTTTAATTTACCCAGCAGGGTATCACTAATTATTATCTAACCTTCTTTTATGTCTCAAAAACTCTTTAGCAGGGGACAGTTTTCAATTTGCCTAAAAATTGTGAAGTAAAAAAAAACCATAGTACCGCATAACCCTTTAAAAGACTGGAGAGAAGGAAAAGAAGGTAATTTTGTTCTCCATCAAATTTGTTTTCCATCCGCTTATTAAAAGCTGTTATTGGCTTTTTGTGTTTCTTTTTGTTTTGTTTTCTTTTTTGTTCTCCACTTTACCTCTTTCTTTTGAAGTCCGGACTGGTTATAGCATAGAGCCGACTGGCAATCTTCCAGATCTTCACGTTTAATAAGGTTAGGGTCAGGCCCTAGGATAGGATAGGGTTAGGGTGAGGGTAAGGATAACCTTAACTCTAACTTCTTGCCTCTCCTCTAACCCCTTACTACCTGAATCAAGCAAATGAGAATAAATCAGGCAAATGTTGAAGTTGCCTGTGGGTGCATGATGGTATACGGATAGGAACCAAATAAGAATGGAACTTTAAAAAAAGCCTGTGTTACTTTAACTGTATTTCAGTTGGATGAAACATTAAACAAAACAAAATGTCGACACCCCATTCAGCAACTCCCGCATACGTATCAAAGCCCAGGCAAGCATAATAATATTATTATGGTATTCTCTTTTCTGTTGAACACCTGTCCCTCCTTCCCCCTGGGCTTCTTACCCTGCCCTTTACCCCACCCCCACCCCCAACTTTCATTTTCCCTCTATATGTGTTGCCTCCCAAGATTAACTATTGACTATCCTTACTAGCTAAAGATTATTTTCCTTTTCCGCATAGCTGCTTCTTAAGTTCTAGTAAAGTGCTGAATAAATGCCGGCATTTGTATCCTGTTTCAAATCATAATCACTTTCCCGTCTTTATTCTTATCTCCTACGTCAATTGAACATTTTTAAGCACTTAAAGTCAACAGAAGAGGCACAGAGAAGAAACAGTGCCACCCCCCCCCCCCTGAAAAAAACCCCAAAAAATCTTTTAAAGCACAACTGAAAACTGAAAAGAGAAACATGAATCAAATGTTATGTAGTTTAAGGAATAAAGTTTACAATCTTAGTCTCAAGTCAACATTATCAAGTTTTGCATGATGCATTCTTGAATCTAGCTGAAACAAGGAGATAACGTTTTAATATATTTTTGTTTGTTTCTTTTAGTTTGAGTTGTACGGCACTTGCAACACAATTAGATCATATATAGGCACCGAAAATTACAGGTTGGTATTTGAAAGCAACATGCAAAGAAAGGAAGGAGGACAGATAAAGACAATAGATGTGAGATCGGAAAGAAATTAAGGAGCAAACCACACCAGGGGGCTCTCGTAGCCTACAGGTTAAGGTGTTCGCCTCTCATTCTGAGGGCCCGGGTTCGAATCGGTGTAGCGACGGAAAATGTTTCTTCTCTAAAATTGTCTCCTTTCACCTCCTTTCCTACTCTCTAGGAATGTTCTGTCGTCTGCTCGTCTCCACTTTCTGCTCCCACCCTCCTTTGCCCCCTCCTGGGCTTCCGACTCTTTCTGCAGCCTTTCTACTGCTACTCCTTGGCTCCTTCTGACTGCTTTCTTTCAGGCACACCCCTGATCTTCTGGTTGGAAAGATCTACACCTAGCCTTCTCGGAAAAGGGCGAAAAATGTCGGAGGTCCCGTGTGCAAGCTGCGCACGTTAAAAATCCTTTGGTGGTCTAACATCGATAAGAGTAGGATTTGGCCGCCACTCAGGCAAAATTCAAAATTTCCTACCAACCGAATATGTTTAGTGTGCCCCGCGCGCTCATATGACCTTATGCGGTTGCGAGCGCGGTAGAACACTTACCAAAAAATGAATAAATAAAAAAGCTACACAAGAGCGCACACTAACCACCCACATTTTAATTGTTTCAACACCAACTTCAGGGGACGTAATGACTTTTTCTCAGCCTGGGCTTACATAATTTTAAGTGCGCTCCCTTCAACCGCTTGGCAGTCTCAAGTAACAAACGGACCTCTCCAAAACCATAAAAATTGAGAGCACATCAGGAAAACTTTTTATGATACTAATGAAGTTGCCGGGCCGCTACTTATTATTTTGCATCCACTTAGTTGTGACGTCGACAGTCTAGTGACTAGTCACTACCTTTGAACTACAAGGTTCTATATGACATTTTTGGCCGTTTTGTGTAACTAAGATCATGAGGTCAGAAACCAGTTTTTATTCTATCTGCTCTATCATAATCTTAAACTTTTTCGGAGTCTAGAAGGACAAGAGTCCAACTGTTGCTGGATCGATAACAACAACAATCGGAATCCTTTCAAGATATTCAAAGAACTACTTTCGAAAAGGCTTGACATTTTGTGAATCTCAAACTTTTTCTGTCAAAACTAGGTACTGAGCACATACAACTTTGCATTTCTGGGGTGGCGCTGGGGTTAGGATACTGTACCCTCGTGAAACTTCGGAATCTGGGGTTCGTCGAGGATTAGACAAGCCCAACGTTAGAAAATGCACTTTGCACAAATTTTCCCAGTCGGCTGGGTGCTATCGGAAATTGACGTTAATTAAATTAGAATAGGCAGA